TAAATTATTATTATTATTATTATTATTATTATTATTATTATTACTACTACTACTACACTCGGGGCTTTTTCTTCAGGACACATAAACCCTTCCCTTTCTTGCTTTCCTTTTAGTATGGGTCAGTGGCAAATGTCACACTCCCCCCTCTCTCTTCAGTCTTTTGACAGGGACAGGGCCGTCTTAAGCATATCCGGCGCCATGGTGCAAAGCTCCCTCCGGCGCTCCCCGTTTCCCAGTGTTTTTTAGGGAGGACGGCGCTGCTGGTGGGGCTGGAGGAGGCGGGCAGTGGCTGGAGGGGGGCTCCTCCGGTGGGGAAGAGGCAGAGGCTGGATGCGGCGCCTTCTGGCTCAGCTGGACGCTTCGTGCTGCGGTGGCCATGGCAGATGGAGGCTCCGGGCGCGGCACAGCGCTGCTTCGACGTGGCATGGCAGAGGCGGGCAAGGGTGGCGAGCTGATGTCCAGCCTCCGCCTCTTCCCTGGCACCCTCCAGAACTTGACGCCCTGGCGCCCCGCACCACTAGCCTCTATGGGTAAGACGACCTGGACAGGGATCCTTCTTTTGCTCTTCATGTCAAGGTATGGATACTGTGGGAGCAGCACCGCTATACAGTGGTAATTCGGGTTAAGAACTTACTGTATTTTTCACTCTGTAAGACGTACTTTTCCCCTCCTAAAAAGTAAGGGGAAATGTGTGTGCGTCTTATGGAGCGAATGCAGGTGGGAGGCTCTGTCAGCGCTCTTTAAAGGGAGCGCAGCTCTTGGGGGAGCCTTAGCCGAGCGCAGCCTTTCCCGGCCAGGGGATGAAGGCTCCCATTGCTGGGGAGAGGCTGTGCATGGCTAAGCCAGAAGCCAGGACAGCCAGCGGGATTGCAGCGCAGCTTCTGGCTTAGCCGTGCGCAACCTCTCCCGGGCAGTGGGAGCCAGGGCAGTGGGAGTCCTGGCTTCTGGAATTCAGAATATTTTTTTTCTTGTTTTCCTCTTCCAAAAACTATGTGCGTCTTATGGTCTGGTGCGTCTTATAGAGCAAAAAATACAGTGATTCGTTCCGGAGGTCTGTTCTTAACCTGAAACTGTTCTTAACCTGAAGCACCACTTTAGCTAATGGGGCCTCCCGCTGCCGCCGGAGCACGATTTCTGTTCTCATCCTGAAGCAAAGTTATTAACCCGAGGTACTATTTCTGGGTTAGCAGAGTCCGTAACCTGAAGTGTATATAACTTGAAGCGTATGTAACCCAAGGTACCACTGCATTCTGTCACTTTCATTTCTTGCAATATGCCAACCTTCCTTTATTCCTCTTGTGGGAGGACTTGGGTTGGGGGCACAGCTGTCAACTTTTCCCTTTTCTTGCGAGGAGTCCTATTCGGAATAAGGGAATTGCCCTTAAAAAAAAGGGAAACGTGGACAGCTATGGTTGGGAGTGGCATAAGGTTAAAGGCAAACACATATTCATGACAAATGCATGTTAATAACGTGAGCAAAATCCCCTAAACCTGTTAGTAGCGTGTGCTGGGAAAGGCCTGAGTGCTGGACATACACGTGGGTTCAGATGTGCGCTTTGTGACGATGCAATATTCTTCACTGCAGTTCAACCCGTTTCGGAGTTTTTAAAAACCTGCAAATTCTAAAAAGTCGGGGGGAAATCTAACTAACTAAGGAAGCAACTTGAAAAAGAAGTGTGTCTTCGGGCTGGGCGATATATATCATCCAAAACTGGTTTGAAGTCCGAACCGTGATACCTGTTTCATAATTTTTCGGCCTGGCAGTGTATCACAAATCAGGATGTGTATTTCTGTGCAATATGCAAAAAAACCACAATGCGGGGAAAACCATGAAGCCAGCCAATGCCTCTCCCTACCGCCATTTCTGTTTCAGTCATCGTGATATATCGTGATGTTTAGTGGGCGATATATCACAATGTTAAAAACCAGATATCGCTCAACCCTAGTGTGTGTGTGTATGTGTGTGTGTGTGTGTGTGTGTGTGTGTACAAACACACACACATGCCTGTGTTGAACCCCTGCAAAGGAACATGCAGGGGCAATTGCACTTTCCACTCATTCGTTCTCTAGAGCTACAAACGGGAGCTGTGCAAGAGCAGTACTACCTGTAAGAACATGAGAAGAACCTGCTGGATCTAGAACAGCTCCAGGGAAACAAGGCCAGTCCGGATGTAGCCCCACAGTGCTGCCCCAGCTCTTCAAGGCTGGGCCAACCTTCCGGTGTCTCCTCCTCACCCGCTGCCCCTTTAAGTGGCTTCACTCCTTCCTTGACTCAAGCTCAAGCGGAAAGGTCAGCGGGGGAGCTTCCCCGTGAAAGACTCTCTTTGTGGTTCCACCTCTTTGTGGGTCTCTCCCCCACAAAGGAGCCTCAGGCTGGCTAGATCTGGGTATTCTCCTGCTATGAAAGGAGCCCTTTCTTAAAATGGCAGGATGCAGGAAGCCAGAATGCCAACGTCTCAGCGCTTCTTCCTATTCCGGGGGGTGGGAGAAGAACCCTGCCTGGTCTGCAGAAGGAGACCTTCAAGCCCTTCCTCCCATCTCTAGATGTGATGGGACAGGAGCTCAGAAGCCCCTTCTCCGTCCTCTCCAACACCATGGAGTGAAGAGGATGACACCACTATTCTTCCTTCCTTCCTTCCTTCCTTCCTTCCTTCCTTCCTTCCTTTCTTTCTTTCTTTCTTCTTCTTTCTTTCTTTCTTTCTTTCTTTCTTTCTTTCTTTCTTTCTTTCTTTCTTTGGCAATCCCTCATAGCCAAGTAAGATTTTCTTCCATAAACACGGTTTTAACAGTGAGTCCGTAAGTAACAGGTATGTGGGTGGCGCTGTGGGTTAAACCAGAGAGCCTAGGACTTGCCGATCAGATCAGGTAGGCGGTTCGAATCCCCGTGACGGGTTGAGCTCCCGTTGCTCGGTCCCTGCTCCTGCCAACCTAGCAGTTCGAAAGCACGTCAAAGTGCAAGTAGATAAATAGGTACCGGCGTTTCCATGCACTGCTCTGGTTCGCCAGAAGCAGCTTAGTCATGCTGGCCACATGACCCGGAAGCTGTATGCCGGCTCCCTCGGCCAGTAAAGCGAGATGAGCGCTGCAACCCCAGAGTTGGACCTAATGGTCAGGGGTCCCTTTACCTTTAAGGTGCTACTGGACAATTACTTTATATATATAATTGGCAGACAGAGAAGCAGAAGTACCTTATTTTCATTACTATTATTATTATTATCTTTTTTATTTCTACCGTTCCGGCAGGAAGGTAAACGGCGTTTCCGTGTGCTGCTCTGGTTCGCCAGAAGCGGCTTAGTCATGCTGGCCACATGACCCGGAAGCTGTACGCCGGCTCCCTCGGCCAGTAAAGCGAGATGAGCGCCGCAACCCCAGAGTCGGCCACGACTGGACCTAATGGTCAGGGGTCCCTTTACCGTGACTGTGGAGGCCAATTCTGGATCCACACGTCCTTCCACAATGGGGATATAGTTTTCCGGACGGGAGTTGATCATGGTGTGGATTTGCCAAGTGTGCCTTCCTCTTAGCACATTTCTCCCCTGCGTCCTGAGTTCGAGCGTCTTCAAAGCCCATGACACCTTTGGGAAAGGCTGTTCTCCAACTGGAGCGCTCGTAGGCCAGTGTTTCCCAGTTGTCGGTCTTTATACTACATTTGTTTAGATTTGCCTTGAGAGAGTTTTTGAACCACTTTTGTTGACCACCAGCATTACACTTTCCATTTTTAAGTTTGGAATAGAGTAGTTGCTTGGGATCATCAGGCATCCGCACAACACGACCAGTCCAACGAAGCTGATGTTGAAAAATCATTGCTTCGGGACTGGTAATCTTTGCTTCTTCCAGTATACTGATATTAGTTCGCCAGTCTTCCTAATCCAGCGAGTGGGGGACAGCGCTATGGATGGCTGCTAGCCACAATGGCTGTGCTCTGACTCCCCAGTTGGAGGCAGCAATGCTCTTGATCCTGCTTGTGGGCCTTCTGGCGGTTCCCTCATTGCGAGAAGCAAAGCTACAGGGAACCAGGCAGAGGGCCTTCTTGGTAGTGGCGCCCGCCCTGTGGAACGCCCTCCCCATCAGATGTCAAAACGATAAACAACTACCTGACATTCAGAAGACATCTTAAGGCAGCCCTGTTGTTGTTGTTATTATTATTATTATTATTATTATTATTATTATTATTGATTTCCCACTGGGGCACCTGGTCGGCCACATTGAGGACAAGAGACTGGACTAGATGGGCCACTGGCCTGATTCAGCAGGCTCGTCTTATGTCATCATCATCATCATCATCATCATCATTATCTTCTGAAGAAGTGTGCAAGCACACGAAAGCTTATACCCAGAACAAACTTAGTTGGTCTCTAAGGTGCTACTGGTGCTGTGGGTTAAACCACAGAGCCTAGGACTCTGTCAGAAGGTCAGCGGTTCAAATCCCCACGACGGGGTGAGCTCCCGTTGCTCGGTCCCTGCTCCTGCCAACCTAGCAGTTCGAAAAGCACGTCAAAGTGCAAGTAGATAAAAAGGTACCGCTCCGGCGGGAAGGTAAACGGCGTTTCCGTGCACTGCTCTGGTTCGCCAGAAGCGGCTTAGTCATGCTGGCCACATGACCCGGAAAGCTGTACGCCGGCTCCCTCAGCCAATAAAGCGAGATGAGCGCCGCAACCCCAGAGTCGGCTACGACTGGACCTAATGGTCAGAAGTCCTTTACTTAAGGTGCTACTGGACAATTACTTTATATATATAACTGGCAGAGAGAGAAGCAGAAGTACCTTATTTTCCTTTTAAAAAAATTATTATTATTATTATTATTATTATTTATTATTATTATTATTTTCTTTTTTCTTTCTTAATCTCTTTCTTTTGATAAGAAGTTTAATGTTTTAGTTTGAGGGGGAAAGATATTTGATAATAAGCTTTGTATTCTTCTTTATACTCTAACAAAATTTCACAGATCGGTAGATCAAATCCACACCCAAAAACTAGGACAGAAAGGAGAGGAGCAGTACCTTTTTGGCGCCGGTCAATGCTGCTTTCTGGAGCTTGCTGTAACAGTACTTGGCATAAGTGCTTATTGCCACCCCTAGAAGAGAAGAGAGAGAGAAAGCAGCAAGTCAGAGCCAGGACAACCCACAAGGCCACCCTAACAAGAAAGAGACCCAGACAGGAGAAACCCCAGCAGCGTCCTCAAGAGAAGCCATCAGAGCAGCCTTTTCCAACCAGCCCCTCTCAGCCTTCCTTCGAGAAGCTCATTTCCGGCCACGGCGACCCGAGATGGGCCTTGGCAGAGCAAGTCCTCCAGCGAACCCCTTGCTCCGGCCGTGAGCTCGGCAAGAACCGCGTGCGAGCGACATGCAATGGCATCCGGACTCCTGCAGGACTCGCTGTCTCCCTTGAAGCCACTTGCCACCCTCCCATCCCTCCAGCGCCGCTACCAGTACGTTTGGCTCCCAGTACGTTTTCAGACACAATTCAAAGTGTTGGTGCTGACCTTGAAAGCCCTAAACAGCCTCGGCCCAGTAGACCTGAAGGAGCGTCTCCACCTCCATCGTTCTGCCCAGACACTGAGGTCCAGTGCCGAGGGCCTTCTGGCCGTTCCCTCGCTACGAGAAGCCAAGCTACAGGGAACCAGGCAGAGGGCCTTCGCGGTGGTGGCACCCGCCCTGTAGAACGCCCTCCCATCAGATGTCAAAGAGATAAACAACTACCTGACATTCAGAAGACATCTGAAGGCAGCCCTGTTCAGGGAAGTTTTTAATGTGTGGCATATTAGTGTATTTTTGGTCTTTGTGGAAGCCGCCCAGTGTGGCTGGGGAAACCCAGCCAGATGGGCAGGGTACAAATAATAAATTATTATTATTATTATTATTATTATTATTATTATTATTATTATTACCAAACCTGCCTGACATGGCCTCTCCTCCTCCCAGAGGGGAGGGGTTGTGAGCGGGAGCAGCTTCCCGGAGTGGCAGGGAGGCATGTTCGGCTCCCTGCTCCTGATTGCTTCTGCGGCCGTGGCCAAGCCTTCCGGACGACCAATAGGGCCGGCTGGTGGGCGGGGCTAGCCACATTTAAACGGCCGCGGCAGCGCCCAGCTCCCAGTCTGTTCCTGCTTTCTTCAGATCTCCTGCCCTCCATCCCTCTTAGGTCAGCTTCTTTTTGCATCTTGACCTTGCTATGGACTTCGGTTGGTCGCCTTGGTTGCCCAAGGGGCCTGGTAGGACTTCTTTATCCATTTGGCAAACTGGCACCAGCCTCTTGGTTTTTCCACCTACCTCCTAGCAACTCAGCACAACTTTCTGGTATTGGCGGTTAGGCACTGGAATATGTGTGCTGCGTTGGAGGATTGGGTATGGGCCATCATCTACCCCTCCTCTTTTGGGTATTCCATTAAAGGAATCCGGCGGTCGTGGATCCTGTCCGATGCCCTGCTGGTGGCTAGGGCCATGGCACGACCCCCGGTGACGTCTTGGGGGAACTCCCAGTTGTACAGTCATACCTCGGGTTGAAGTAGCTTCAGGATGAATATTTTCGGGTTGCACTCCACGGCGACCCGGAGGTAATGGAGCGTGTTACTTCCAGGTTTCACCGCTTGCGAATGCGTTCAAAATGACGTCACGCGCATGCGCGGAAGAGGCGAAACACGGCCTGCGCACATGCAGATGTGCAGTCACGTCTTACGTTTACTTCAAGATGCGAACGGGACTCTGGAACGGATCCTGTTCGTATCCAGAGGTATCACTGTATTTGCATCAACAAGCTCCTCCCACTGGATATGACTCCCGTGGAGTCTTGTATTGCTGTTTCATCCAATGCCTAAGCCAATACTACTCACATGCTGTAACCAATAAAAGTTACAGCCTAATTTTGCCCATTAACCATGCAGGTACCGCAACTGAAGCACCCATTGCAGATTGCCCTCTGCACCTTCACAAAAAGCCACTACACTTAAGGGAGAGAGTAAAGTCGTAGAATTGCAGTTGTAGAGTTGGGAAGGAAGCATAAGGGATATTCAGTCCAACTCCTGCAACGCCCAATGTGGGACCCACGACCCTGAGATTATACGCAAACCTCACCAGGAAAATCACTGGCTCTTCTTGCACTCAACCTTACAGTGCACACTTACTTTCCTTTCAACTCATCTCTGCCTTGGATTAAGACAGATCTTTAGAAACACCTTATAAACCTGTAACCTTAATTAGCTACCACTGGACAGGCTACCCTTCCAGATGTTCTCCAGATGTTCTAGACTCCCATCAGCCCCAGGCCACACGGCTACAGCCATCACCACCTGAAGCCCCTCGACCACAGCTGGAACCCTTGCAAACACTGAGGTCCAGCTCCAAGGGCCTTCTGGTGGTTCCCTCATTGCAAGAAGCAAAGCTACAGGGAACCAGGCAGAGGGCCTTCTCAGTAGTAGCATCCGCCCTGTGGAACGCCCTCCCATCAGATGTCAAACAACTACCTGACATTTAGAAGACATCTGAAGGCAGACCTGTTCAGGGAGTTTTAAATGTGTGACATTTTAATGTATTTTTAATCTTTGTTGGAAGCTGCCCAGAGTGGCTGGGGAAACCCATCCTGATGGGTGGGGTACAAATAATAAATTACTATTACTATTACTAAACACAATGCCTAATGAAGAAAAATGGTGCGTTGCGATAACAACATCCTAGGCTCCCCCAGCGAAAAGAGGAGTAGTTCTGCAGATATACCGGGTAATACTGAAGAAACGATGTGATAATAAGACGACTTATATGACCAAATCGGGGGCAGTACTAGCAATGCAAATGTCAGAAAAGAATTGGAAAAGATCCCACAACCTGCTCATTTTTTGTGTAAATGCAAAGGGATTTTATTTGAAGTGTTAACGCTATGGTATTTGACCCCAATTATGATGAAGTAATTTGCTAACAACTGCCCAATTACCGATCGTGCAAAAGCGGAACTCTATCAAGGCACCTACAGGAGGGAACTGCTGGAGGCAGTATGTGTCCAAATGACAGTTGCTGTGAACGGCAAGTGCTGTGTGATTGTCATTGTGTGAGTGAGTTGACTGCCCCAATAGTATGAGACGGATTTCCGTTCTTAATGCTAATTTAACCAAAATACAAGCGAGCAACCAGGGAGGGAACCTGCATACTTATTTTTGCTACGTATTTCTTTGGGTTTTTTCTGTACTACCTGCTATGAAAATTCAATAAAGCAGTAAGTTTATACCCCTCCACAAAAAAGGCAGTTTTGTGCCTTCATTGCAAAGCGCCAGCTCCTTATCATTCCCAAGAACCTTTGGGAATATTAAACACATTGGTTTAAGTTCATGGTGGTAAGGTAAAGGTAAAGGGACCCCTGACCGTTAGGTCCAGTCATGACCGACTCTGGGGTCATCACACTTTATTGGCCGAGGGAGCCAGCATACAGCTTCCGGGTCATGTGGCTAGCATGATTAAGCCACTTCTGGCGAACCAGAACAGCGCACGGAAACGCCGTTTACCTTCCCGCTGGAGTGGTACCTATTTATCTACTTGCACTTTGACGTGCTTTCAAACTGCTAGGTGGGCAGGAGCAGGGACTGAGCAACGGGAGCTCACCCCATTGCGGGGATTCGAACCACCCACCTTCTGATTGGCAAGTCCTAGGCTCTGTAGTTTAACCCAGAGTGCCATCCGCATCCCAATAAGTTCATGGTGGAGAAACCTTAAATAATGCAAGAGGGGCTCTGTATTCTCTGGTACCCGGCTATGCAATCATCAGAACAGGTTATCCAAATTCTTGCAAACCAACAGGGCAATGAGGCCCAGAAGCTGCCTTGGGAATGTCGTTTCCTGGAAGATCACAAACCCAGCATGCGGAAAGCACTGTGGCTAGATTCCCGTATGGATTTCGGACGGCCAAATCCCGCACAAGAGAAAATCCATCCACAGAGTGACCTTCAAGTCACCCTGGAGGGCTGTGAGCATGTGAGCAGAGAGAGCTCTGATCTTCCTGAAAGGGTGGCTATTAATATGTTGGCCGCACAGTCCCCCTGGGACTGGTAATCCAATTAAAGACACAGCCTTGCTCACAGAGGAGCATCTTGGGCAGCAGAAATGCCATGTGGCGGCAGCAGCAGCTACTGGTAACAGGCAGGGACCCTTTGACTCCCAGAAGTCACGTGGCCAAGTGTGCTGGCCCTGTCTCCTAACCTGCTAGCCATCCTGTTATGTACTGAGTTGAATAGAATCCAAAAGGCAGCAGTCTGATCGGTCCTAGAACATTAGGATCCAGAATGCAGCAGTCTGATTGGTCCTAGAACAATAGGGTCCAGAATGCAGCAGTCTGATTGGTCCACAGGAGCCACCCAATCCAGCTCCAGGTGGAAGTGAATTCGCAACCTGATTGGCTTACAGGTGAATCGCGGAAATAGCCAATCATGTGGGGCCCGTTGTGTAAATAATGTATATAAAGCAGACATTCTGGGGGAACTTCCATTCCTCCTCACCACTATGAGCTGAATAAAGAGCATGAAATCCACTCTCGACTCCCGAGTATATTTCACACCCTAAACAAGAAACGCAGAATCAGTGTTGGAACAAGTCAGGCCAATTCAGCCATGTGATATCCCCGGCCGACCTGGTGTTCTTCTGAAAGTTTTTGAGCGCAACTCCCATCAGTACCAGCTGTAGATCAGGGAAATGGGTCAAGGGTGGGCTCCTGCGACTGGCGCCTGCATTGCTACAGGTGCCATCGATAGTCCTCTCCTCCATCTCTGTGAATTTCCCTAGTCCTCTTTTAAAGCCATACAAGTTGCTGGTCACCACTGAGGGAGGGAGTTCCACAGTTTAACACACACTGCACACAGGGGGAAGATTATCACCACTGACAGTTCTGAAGACTTTCAACGGCTGCCATATTAGCTACTGAGCTAAGTTTAATAATAAATAATAATAAATCTTTGTTTATACCCCGCCCTTCCCAGTTCAGAAAACCGGGCTCAGAGCGGCTAACAACAAATTTAAAACACGTAATTGATGCAACAAAAACACATAAAATATGGTATAAAACGTGAATAACAATAAAATCAAAAATCAATTTAGGGGGAAA